CGTTTTAGTTAGCATATACTGGAAAAGAAAGTTGTTCTGTGAGGATAGAGAAGCAGTTTCATCGTCAGTGAGGCAGAAGTCTTCCATCTTGAGTTTAAAATGGCTACCTCTCTGTGGGGTAATGGGATTAAACATACTACTGCTACCACTATGGTAACTTGAAACTGTTGACATGCAAATCGTCCTTCCTCTCCTGGGTTGAGACTGCGGGGCCATACTGCCCTACGCAGATTTAGGAAGGGTTGCAGTTGTCAACTGTGTGTTTAGTCACTTTAGACAATGGTTGAGTAGCCTGAATTGAGGCACCATGTAACCCGTGTGACTGTTGCGATGACCTAACCGCTGCATATTGTGAGTTCTTATCTGTGTTATCTATGGAAATAATTGTAAATGAATCATTAATAAATGGTTTGTTGGCCATCTCCAATTCTGCAACCCATTTCTGGTATCTGAGCAAAGTATCTTTTGATACACATATACCAAACTGTGACAAGATACCTACACACTTGGCTGAGGAGTAAGTGAACTTATCAACAGAGTCTGTAATTAACATATGGAAAGCAGATAAGCTTGATCATTCTGTAAAAACAAATTAGGTTAAGTCGCTTCAGCTGTTTAGTTTGGTTCAAAATTGATGACTTATGTGTAGTCAAGTAATGACTGTCCCATCAGAAATGAATATCATTACACATTACCTTTACCTCTTCTTTACTTATACTGATTCGTACAAGAAAGTTCCAGAGCACAGGATTGAGAGACTTAATGACTTTCATGGTGTCGATAGGAGACTTACTTTCAGAAAGTGACTTGGCTTGAATGGCTACCCTTGAATGTACATTAGTTCATCAGCTGTAACATTTAAATGATACTTACTACATGTTTCTGACTTCAGTAATTCTTCCATCTTTCTTTCACTTTCCTCTAATTGCCTTTTTAGTTGTTTATTCTCCTTATTGCAGTCAAACAGAGACTTCAACAAACACTTTTGGACGTTTGTACCGTACCTTATAAATAGTAAACCTAAGCGTTCATTACCTGTACTACTGTAGACTATCACGCATTTGCTTAATGAAGCCTTTGCACGTTTTACCAGTAGATCTTTTACCTGCTTTTCACTTAAATGATGTTAATCATGGTCTGCACAACGGGATATGTCAAAAGATTGACAACATTCTTTGAAATAAAAGTAAAGTTTGTCCTACAAAAGTGCTTTGTCAGAAAGCAAAACCTGTCCCATGTGAATCATTGCTTTGTGAATACTACATCAATACAGCTGTGTTGATCAACGTACTGTTCAAGTGAATCCAGAAGTCCTTGAAAGAAAGGTTTAGAATAACTCTGTTCCTTATTATGAAAGACTAACCTCTACAAAATCTTTGGTATGAAGCAGTACATGTCTGTTAGCTCAACATCTTCAGCATACTTATTTATGGCTATCAAATAAGAATTTAGCTTTTCAGACCTGCTTTCCATGTACCTATACACAAGTACTGCATTTTGAAGGTGGTGATAAGAAACGGGTGTATATATTATAATGTACATAACAAAGAAAATACTTACCATCAGACTGTGGGATCTGTTTAACATTTTCTACAGAGAGCTCAAAACAATTTCTTAATTTACCTTCATCTTGTCAGTTTGATGGATCTTAGTGTCAGGACACATTAAATGTGCATTATATGTGCAATGTGGAACTAGACACAAGCTGCAATCAATCTTTGTTGTGGTTCGGCTGCATTCCATTTCCTATTGCAATTCCAGCAAATACAATCAGTTTCACTTACCTTAAAATATTGTTGCAAGTTTTCGACAGCAAAAGCATGTTGTGGTAAAGCATTAGCTACGTGCCAATGAATCAGCTTACAGTTACTAACAAGCATTATATAAAATTGACTTATACTTACCTTCTACAATGCAAGCATTCAAAAACACCCACCTCAATCTCTGTTTATGTAAGCCTATCTACAAGTATAAGTAACATAACAAAACTTAGTTTCCTTCATGGATGAACATTTTCGCCTATTTCAGCCGAGGCATGTCACTTCGAGTCTGCGACAGCAACCATTCTGTCCATCACAATTTTATATCTTTGCATTCTAATAAAATAGTATACTGTAATAATATTTGAAAGAGTATGCTGTGGTTAAATTTCATTGAACATTATCATCAAGATTATAGTTTTATGCAATTTATTTATTAAAAGTAATTACACTAAATACGGAGGAAGCATGATTTTTAAACCTATCTTAAAGTCATTCTCAAGTTAAAGTGAAACAGTGTATAAGATTTTACATAGATTACTGTACTAATCTGTAAAACTAAAGGAATAAAGTTGTTGGCACTGGAGGGGTATTTAAGCCCTCTCCTTAAACAAAGAGCTTACCCTTAAATGGTTCACACTGCAGGGGTAATTAATCTCTCTCATTAAACAAGGAGCTTAGCTTTGACAAAACTAAAATATTAAAGTTGTTCACACTGCAGGAGTAAATTCATAAAATTATTGAAAGAAAACTCATTAGGTGTACTGACACATACATGGTGTTTGTACGAACAGCCTTTTGTGGGCAGATGATGTGGTTTTATTAGCTGACAGTGAAAATGAACTTATTAAGATGTTGGAATTGGCATCGCATTTCGCTAACAAATGGAAATTTAAGTTCAATAATGAAAAGTCAAATGTTCTAGTTGTCGGTCAGCAGCTGAATAGTACAGTACCAAACGTTGGAAATTAGGAGGGGATTTTATAACTGAAGTTGAAACTTATAAATATTTAGGTACCCACATTGCTAGGAATATGAAGGACAACTTCCATATACATCAATTATTGCAAATTTAATGGAAATAGAATTATCGCATATATTAAATCCATTATAGACAGGCTTGATTATTTTAACCGCGTGTATTATGGTGATGTTCTTTGGAAATGTATAGGCCTTCCCACAATTAATTATGCGTGTGCTGATGTGTTAATACAAATACTAAAGATTTAGAGAAAGTAGAGTCTCTTCAATTACAAATGGCGCGGACCATACTAAAAGCTTGCCGGGCGGCGACTTCTGTATAGTTTAATTTTTTTAATCTTGCATAAACCTTGTTTTGTATTTTATATATTTTTATTGGTTAGGCCTATTGTTATTTTATGTGTGGAAGCTGTTTATTGGCTTATGTTTAATAAAAAAAATATTGAGTGTTAAAGGCCTATGTTAATGTCAAAATATAAATAAAACATACAAGTGAATGTACGTGTACCGTTGTAATTCATTAATAGGCCTATTTAGGTGCTCATTCTTAACTGACCAAAATAAACATGTAGTGTACAGAAAACAGTATTCAATTCTTATATTTGGACATTTATGTATCCAGCAACATGATGGTGATACTTCCTCCTGTGCGAAGTTACCTTGCATTGCTACTAAATGTGTATGCCGGACAAAACCGACATCGGCCTATAGGTGAAGTCATTGAATTGTCGGTTGTATCTCAAGATGGTTAGTCCATGACCTTGTGAAACGTCATGTAGTGATCTACATCAGAAAATACGATACGCATGGGGCGATACAAAAATCTTTATTGAATATAATAGTGAATATATCAACATGGTGGGTGTTGATGCATTCACTATAGGCCTACATGAAAACATTAAAATAGTAAATAGTAAATACAAGAATACCATTGCTGGGGGGGGGCCGCGGGGGCTTAAGAGACCCCCATCGGACAAGTGAAGCGCAGCCCCCCCCCCCAATAGGACAGGACTCGGCAGAGTCGGACTAAAAAAAAACATAAAAATAGGCCCAAGTCAAGGCAACACATATATGTCACAGAAAGTGTCATCATCGCTATCAGGCACGTCTAAGTCTCGCACATCTAAAAGCTCACTTTCATCGCTGTCTGAATCAAAAATCAGGTCAATCGCTTCCTCAGCTGTGTACACATCTTCTGCAGCCATTTCGGAAAATTCACGAAATTAATAACGATTTCAAATTGATATTTCTAAACATTTTTATATAAGCGCATGTGAGTTCTTCACAGATTTCGAAAGAAGAAAGCTTCACGCATGCGTGTTCAAAATTTCTAACGTATTGGAGCTAAAATAAAAACAGAAGAGCGATTTGAAAACCACCTATTTTTTAGTCACTAAATTTCGATTGCAGTCGAAAATGGGAATTCTCGGTTTGAGGTCAATTTCGACTACAGTCGAAGACGGTATCTAGAGGGTTAAGACGCCCAGTGTATCAAGCCCTGTCAGCAATCTGTTTATACAAAAAAAATTATGTCAAGATCACATGTACAGGACATGTACCTAATGAAATATAAAACAAGCATTAACATGAAATGCAATAATAGTATGCTGTGTGCACTGACACAAATTTAGGCCCATCAAAAACTATGCAGACCACAACAAAAATATTATCTAACATATTTACTTACGATGTATATTCTGTTTTTGTATAATTCACATAGTTAACTCCACGTTGTTTACTGAAGTACTGCTCTAACGGATCCTGATTAAACTTCTCGCTCAACAGAAAATCCACATCAGGACGAGAAAGCAGTTCTGAAGCCAAGCCCACAAATGAATTGACTACAACAGTAAAAAAAATTCATTTAATTTTTATATAAATGTAACACAAATGTGCATCTGATGCAGTTCTAAGAGTTAATAAACCAACCTAGCAATCGTAGGGAACAAAGATGCTGAGAGTGTTATATATTTGTCAAACCATAAAGATCAACGGTCAGACCCTGAACCGTATAGCACTCAAACTCATACCTCTACCTTTAATAATGCAAACAACTTCCTGCGCTGTTGTAGCATACATAAAATGCTGAAATACTAATATGGTGTGTTTATCATGATTTTTTAATAATGCTAACATTACTGCCATTCAACGAGCTACAGTACATGTTATGTTGGCTTGGAAATCTAGATTCTTTTAATAGACTATTTTTTGCCAACCTGTTACTCTCAGTCCTTCTTGGGTCTCCCTGCTTAACAGCATTTTCTGCTTCTCAGACTTGCTCACATTATCAAGGTTGTTGACTTAAGTCTCCCACTCGTCTAGGAATCCTAAAAAGTCCTCCTTAAGCCACTAGAAATAATCACAAATTAAGAGATTATTTAGTTAGCATACAATTGCTTTAACTTACTGCGTAAAACAGAGCAAATTACTTTATGAAGAGATCCAGTGCAAGATATTGCTAGTCAGATGAGAGTAACTGGATTACGGAAAGCCTTTTTTAAATTGTAAGAGCAATAGAAATTAATGAAAATAACCATTCATATTGAAAATACATGGAATACGTTTCAAAAAGAAATATGTATACCAAGAATAAAATAATTAACTTGTAACAAATTACAAGTAAAAAAAAATGATGAATGCAATATTTACTCTTAAGAAATCAAATTGGCCTAGGCTTAGCCTACCCTAATAGGGCCTAGGCCTAGTAGTTTTGAAACTAATTTAAGCCACGATAGGGACCTATGGTAGCATAGGGCTTGCTGTATGGTGGTACTGTTGGTACGAGGTAGGCCTAGTGCGAACCTCCCTTCCTTCTCGTCACATATAGGCCTAGGCTAGGCCAAGCCTAACCAAAAAGCTAAATTAAAATACGTAGGGTCTTCGTTAATTAAAATGTGATGAATTAACAATAAATGAAAAAAAATCCAATTCATTCCAACAATTTACGCGAGCACGGAATTTACCCGAGCACGCACGCACGCAAATATTTGATTATTTATGAATTCTAATATGCTGTCCATACTAAGTGATGTTAATTATAAAATAATATTTATTGTAAACCCAATTAAGTGTGTGAAATTAATATGCAGTGTACGTAACTCATATACTTTGCATGTGTTCATCGGGAAGATCATGATACAAAATGGACGGTGTGTACCACGTGGCTTTCGCAAACCAAGGAGCGGAATGTCACAACTCTTTATATATATGGCTCGTCTGTATAAAAGTAATGAACAAATTCCGCTGTACGTGAAAATTGATGGCTTGTTATGTGTTACCTCGGAGGGTAGTTATGCGTAAACTCGGTGGGTAGTTATGTGTTTACTCGAAGGGTAGTTATGCAAACTCGATGGGTAGTTTTATGTGTTACTCGGTGTGTAGTTATGTTTAACTCGATGGGTAGTTATGTCAACACGATTGGTAGTTATACGTAATGTCGATGGGTAGTTATGTGAACTCGATGATTAGTTATGTGACCTCGATATTTATGTCCGGCCTGGCGTGCCATAGTATTGATAATGGTGGTACAATTAGTGGGTCAGTTGAAGGTCGAAGTATACTAGGTGTAGTGAGTGGAGGTGTGGGTGAGTCTATTTGTGGTGATGAATGAGGTCGCGTGGCTGTTGTCATGTGCTGTGTAGTACTCAAAAAACAGAGCCTGATAATCTTAGTATTATTTTTTGTAGGGGATTTGTGCAAGGTTGGTCTTTAGAGTTCCAAATTTGAACAGTGGCTGACTGATCAACAAAAGCATCAAACTTGCATCCTTTTAACAAATGCTTAAATGCTGATGTGTTAATATAAAGACCAAATAGTTCTAATTCTGTTACACTGTATCGTTTGCAAGCTTCAGGGAGTACTTTTGAATAATATCCAATTATGTGTTCTTCATCATTAACGGTTTGTGTTAAGTATGAGCCTGTTGCAGTCCTAGATGTATCACCGTATATCCTAAATCTACCGT